CTCTGTGTGTCTGTAGGGGTCAGTCCGGAGGTCACGGTGTCTCTCTGTGTGTCTGTAGGGGTCAGTCCAGAGGTCACGGTGTCTCTCTCTGTGTCTCTCAGTAAGAAGGCTCTGCGCCTGTTGAAGTGTCTCATCGAGGGTCTGAAGCAGCGCCACCCTCGGGAGCTCGCTCAGCTCTGCTCCTACCACGGGAAGACAGTCTTCCTGCACACGCTGAGTCGCCATGGTGATGACGCCATCTGGGCACCGCGGCGGCTCCCCTCCTGCTTCCTGCTGCTGCTGGACAGCTTCATCGCCCACGTCCAGTGCGCCGAACTGCCCCACTTCTTCATCAGCGCCAGCAACATGTTCGCCCCGGCCGCCTTCCCCCGCCGCTCCCTGCTCTTCCTGCAGGGGGCGCTGGAGGAGCAGAGGCAGAGCGGGGTGCCACTGTTCCAGGTGTCCAGCCCGTCACGGCTCCTGCCCGCGGACCCCCCCGGGCCCAGCTCTGCTCCATCGTGCCCCCCGGTGTGCAGCTCCGGCCTGCACTTCCCCTCCCTCCCCTGGGGCTTGGGGGCCCTGGCTCTCCTGACCACCCTGCTGGTTGCAGCAGCTCTAGTGCTTCACTAGGGGGCAGTAGAGAGGGACTTGGTGTCGACTGTGCAGGGCAGGGACCACAACTTTCAGCTGGGGCCTGTGGGTTTCCTTTTGTGTAGTGAATACAGCCGTTAAGCCAACTAAGCACTGAAGTATTAAAAATTCTCAAACACACCAACGAACTCAAAACAGTGAACATTTTCAGCGGCAACAATGAAACACACCAGAGGACACGAGTGGAAACTTCAGGGAATTACATTTTAAACTGAGAGCTGGAGGGACCTCCTTACACAAGGAATTGTAGGAGTGTTGGGCAAGCTGTACAGTCATATTTCTGAAGCTGGTGTCCTTGCCTCTGTGAAGATGAGATTCTCAGTGCAATTAGCCAATCACTGCCACACAGGCCAGATGGGACAAAAAGTCTTCCATTCGTCATCTTTCTTGTGTTCTTATGAGAGGTCAGGGTGAACAAGACACCAGAAGACACGGACGACCTGCAGGGACTGCAGAGCAGCAGGATCCACATCTGTGTGTCCTTCCTTCAGGTCAATTCCATTCAAGGTGCTTTATTGGCATGACCAATGAGTAAAATCAGTGTTGCCAAAGCAACACAGATACAATTAACATAAAAAATGACAGACATTTACAATATAGACACATCATAGGATATTTATATTTATATGAAGCATTACTGGGAGGCAGGCTGACTGTTCCTCAGGCTGTGACAGGAGGTCACATACTGGGCTGCCAGTTCAACTGAGGTTCCTCCTCCCTCTCCCAGTAGGATTGGGAGCTGTTGTGATCAACAAGGAATATTTCTTCTCTGTCCTCCTGTGTCTCAGTGCTTCTGTCCCTCTGTCTCTCTGCACCTTCTGCAGGACACTGAGAGAGAAGAACTGACCTGCCTGCTGATTGGACATAATGGGAAAATCAGACTGTGAACTGCTAACAAACACATTCATTAACACAATGTAGCAAAATTATGTATCTGATGTACTCAATTAACTGCATATGTATATTATATTTTTAGACAGTGATTTTAAAAATAGGAAAAAATAATTGAAATGTTTGAATAAAGAAAATCTTTGTTCCTGGGAACCAATGTGCATATTTGAATCTATCAATTAAAATGAATTTAAATTGATCAGCCAGCAGCTGACAGCTGGAACCCCACTGGAGCTCAGCGGGTGTGAGCCTGGTCAGTCTGGAGCCTGGATGGGAGACCTCCTGGGAAAAACTAAGACTGCTGCTGGAAGAGGTGTTAGTAGGACCAGCAGGGGGCACTCACCCTGCGGTCTGTGTAGGTCCTAATGCCCCAGTATTGTGATGGGGACACTAGACTGTAAAAATAGGCACCGTCCTTCGGATGAGAAGTAAAACTGAGTTTGTGACTCTCTGTGGTCATTAATAACCCCAGGGTGTTTCTCGATAAGTGCAGGGGTGTTACCCCAGTGTCCTGGCCATTTTTCCCATGAAGGCTCCACAGCCGAAACATTTCTTTTCTTCCCTTTTCAGCAGGAATAAACCTTCACTTCCTTTAAAGCCCACAGGTGCTGACACAGCTCCCCACCTGAACTATCATAAGTCAATGTAAGGGAACAAGTAAAGGTTTATTTCCTGCTGAAAAGAGAAGAAAGAAAACACAACGTTTCTGCCGTGGAGCCTTCTTCAGGTCTCAGGTCACACAGCTCACACCTGAACTATATACAGTCAATGTATGTATCTGTTTAATTTCACACAAGGGTGAACATTTATATGTTTTTACCTTTTCAGGAAATTATAAATGTCTTACAAATCACCACGACCCCATGTTAGATATCAGTCTTCTTCATGTATCCACAGTGTAAATTAGGAAAATTATTTATTCAACAAAACACACAGAAGTCTGCTATTACAGAAATTTTCAGAAAACAGCCTCATTATTCCATTATACGTTCTACAAAAGAAGACATCGTAAATACTGAGACACGAGTTTAGAAATAACGCCACTGCTATATAACTTTTCTTGCGCCAATTTGATATGAGCATTAGTCTCTAGTCTCTATTAAGACCGGAACCTGGGTTACATCACCAACACATTCCACGGAGCCAATCCAGCCGGGCACTCGATTATAAAAGGCAGCGCCGGAAGTCTGTCGCTCTCTTCTAGTGCTCCAACATGGCGGTGAGTAGTGTTTGTCAGCTGAAGATGGCGGTGTCTCTACTTTTGTCAAAATGTCAATCCGTTTCCATCGGTCGTTAAATTAAGCGTCAGCAGGCTGGTAGAGCCCGGGGCTTTCTTGCAGGCGACTGAACTGCGGGGGCCACTATGTTTGGTTTTTGTAGCTTGAAGCGAAACACATATAAACACACCTGGAGTGGCACAGACCCCTGTCCCCGTCTCCGGCCTGGGTCTCCCGCACCGCCGGCCAGTGCTTGTGGTTTCGACCGGCCCGGCTGAGGTCCTGGTGCCGGGAGAGCCGGAGGATTCCGGCTTCACCGGTGTTCTAATGAGACGGCTGTGCCTTTCCAGCCGGGCTCCGGGCGGCGGTCTGTGGGGCACGTCCCGGCGGAGTCCGGGTCCGGTGTGGAGCGGGCCGGGCCCGAGCTCTGGGTGTGGGTCGGTTCTGAGAAGAGCTGCTCGGAGAAGCCGGACTGCATCCCGGGGCCCGTGGGCTCACGGGCTCGGTCCGGCGGAGTGCCTGTATTGGCGCTCCCCCGAGAACACGGGTCATCCCGGTGTCAGGCTGCCCCACGCGTTGCGTGTTTCGAGTGGGTTCTGCTCCCCGAGGTGGTGGTGTCTGCGGCTCGGGGGGGTCGGCTCCTCTGTGTGGAAGTGACCCGTGGCCCGCTGTCCCCGCAGGACCAGGCTGAGAAGAAGGAGAACCCCATGAGGGAGCTGCGCATCCGCAAGCTGTGCCTCAACATCTGCGTGGGCGAGAGCGGCGATCGGCTGACCCGCGCGGCCAAGGTGCTGGAGCAGCTGACCGGACAGACGCCCGTCTTCTCCAAGGGTGAGTCAGTCGGCCGGCCCGGGGGGCGGCGGTGCGGGGGCCGCCCGGACGCGCTCTGACCCCCTCTCTCTCTCGCCCGTCCAGCCCGCTACACCGTGCGGTCCTTCGGCATCCGCAGGAACGAGAAGATCGCCGTCCACTGCACCGTGCGCGGCGCCAAGGCCGAGGAGATCCTGGAGAAGGGGCTCAAGGTGAGGAGTCCCGTTCGGCCTGCCGGCTGCAGGGCGGGGGGGTGAGGGTGTGACTCGTGTGCTCTCGAACCCGGGCCCGCGGAGGCTCACTGCCTGTCTGCCCGTCTCTTCCAGGTGCGGGAGTACGAGCTGCGGAAGAACAACTTCTCCGACACGGGGAACTTCGGCTTCGGGATCCAGGAGCACATCGACCTCGGGATCAAGTACGACCCCAGCATCGGCATCTACGGGCTGGACTTCTACGTGGTGAGGATCCACTGTCCGCCTGTCCGCACTGCAGCGCGGGCCTCGCCTCGCCGTGGGCCTCCCCCCACTCACGCTCTCCCTCTGTCGCGCAGGTCCTGGGCCGGCCCGGCTTCAGCATCGCAGACAAGAAGCAGAAGAGGGGCCGGATCGGCGCCAAGCACCGGATCAGCAAGGAGGAGGCCATGCGTTGGTTCCAGCAGAAGGTAGGAGCCGGCGACCCGCTGGGCTCGGTCCTGCTGGGGACGGTGTGTGGGTCCGGTACAGCTCATGGAGGTTCTGGGAGGTGGGGAAGGTTTTCCGGCCCCGGAAGGCTGGGGAGATGAGAGTTGTCACTGTGGGACCTCCAGCACGACTCCGCTGGTACATCCTGCTCAGGCACAGGCTGAGCTCCGGGATCTCGGGTTCGAGTCTGGAGTCATGTGACCGGGAGTCCGGCTGTGAGGGTAGGGCCGGATTCGTGGGTCAGTGGCTGACCGCTGCCCTGTCCACAAGCAGCTGTGGGTCTGCCAGGCTTGGCCTGGGCGTCAGTGTAGCGAGTCTGAGGCCTGGGAGCGGCTTGGCGCTGTGAGTCCCAGTAAGCAGGGAGGTGGTCCTGGCCTAGTGGAGAGCTCCTGCCTCTCGGCTCGAGGGTCGGTGACGAGCCCAGCGTGTGGATCCAGGGCTCGGGGCCGGGGAGACTCAGCCACTGAGCTGGTTTAGAGAATACACCCAGGTTATCGACTGGCAGTACTGGATTTTAAGAGTTTAGATTTTGTAGTGAAATGTACAAAGGTGATTTAAAATGACTACTTGTACATTAATGCAGCCAAGACAAAAGACCTGGCACGAAATGGAGGAGACGCTAACAGTTGTGTGACTGTGCTGATTCAGACATGCCTGAGTAAGAGGATTCCTGAGGTTTTGGCGCTGGGGTTCACAGGTCTGACTCTAATGGCTGAGCTCTCGCAAAGGAGTCTGATCTGCTTCAGGTGCGCCAGGCCTCCTGTTGTCTGCTACTGCCACTCTTGATGCACAATCCTCTAACTGCTGCTCCCTTTGTGTTTTTGTTTTGCAGTACGATGGCATCATCCTCCCTGGCAAATAAAGGACTGCTTTCTTGATTTCATTTGTAAAGATTTGCAAAATAAAGTTGTAAAAAGCTGAAGTTTGACTGTCTTGCCTGCAACCATGAGTGTTGAATTGAAATGGTGCTGTGGGCCAGGCTAGGTGTTGGGGAGGGGGTAGGGTAGAGTTTGTTCCAGCCAAACGCAGTGGTGCTTAATTAGTCAGGTTGTGAGGATTGAGCAGAAATGGATCCCCTGTGTCTCGTCTTGCAGTGTTGTTGCACAGGGCTGTCCATCCCAGCTGGACACAACAGTACTGCTCGGCCCCCGAGTCCTGCTGCAGCAGGAGACCCGCCGCTGCAGTTCCAGGACCCAGAGCTCGGGCCAGCTTCCTCGCGCCTGCGCTGGGTACCAACCTGCAGCAGGTTGTCCAGGCTCGGTGTGAGGGACCCTTGAACCCAAGAGAGCCCCCCCACATTATGAAATCGCCTGCTGGAGTTCACCCCAGGCCATGAGGGGTATTCCTGCCCTCAACCAGCAAGGGGCACTGTTGGGCAGGAAGTGTGCCTGTGTGGCAGGGGTGTGCACTGCGGCTCTCGCTGCCTGACCAGGCTGCAGCATCTTGCAAGACTGACCGGCTGGGGCAAAGCTCCGCAGTGGAGTAGACCGGTCACTGGTGGACAGTGTGAGGAGTACTAGTGCTGGCTGTCCTACCTTGGTACCGGACAGACCATGGGTGGGCTCGTCCACTGAATCGGATCACGTGCCGTGGAGCTGGCTTGACAAGTTGAAAGACTGCTTTCGATTCCAGATGTGAATGTCCGTCGAGGCCTGGAGGCCTGTGGCCCAGGATGGCTGGGGCTGGACACCCCTGTCAGGGCCCTAGAATCGTGGGGCTCCCCACCCGTCTCTGGGCACAGGGCCACAGACTAGTTGGTCTCTGGTCTTCAGCAGCGGTAGGGGAAGGCAGGGCTGTTTCCTTGCCGAGGAAGCTGGGAACACCTCTGCATGTGTGAGCTGCCCGGGTCTGAGTCTCGGGGAGACCCGCCCAGCTGAGGGGGGCGGCTGTAGGGCAGAGCCGAAAGGCCACAAGGTGTGAAGAAGCCCTGTGCAGTAACGGCACCGTGCGGGAACTGAACCGTATGAATGGAGTGACCTCTGACCTCTGCTCTACTGGACAAAACGGGCCTGCTGTGCCCTGGGCGGAGGGCTGGTCTCTGGGCTTGTAAAATATATCGGACTGCAGGTTTTCACACGGTACTCAAGTTAGACCTGCAAACGATTCACATGATTTGACCAAGTAGTTTAATTAAGACTGGAAAGTTTTCCCACAAGGGCTGGAGATACTTCTGCCCGGAAGGACCGGCCGCAGGGCCGAGGCTGGTTATCTGGGCTAATCCCCGAGATTCCCAGACTCCAGGGACACAGAGCCATGCCGAAGGGACAGTGTCCACAGGGTGTCTGCCCTGCGACCAACAGACTCACACAGGGAGGCAGGTTAACAGCTTGTCTTTATTCAGTGAAGTCAGTCAATTCAAGATGCTTTATTGGCATGACCAATGGACAAACCACTGAGTCCCTCTCGCTCCCCTGTAGCACTCCGGGCACCAGGGCTGCTGGACTCTGCCCCTGCTCCCCCATGCTCTCGGCGTGATGAACTTGTGGGGGCTCAGCTGCCCTGTTTCCACGGGGACAGTCAGATACGTCTGCTGCACCTTTGCTCCGAGCCTGGGGGGGCACCGACAGCCACAGTCCCGTTACAGAGAGCGTTCAGCAATGAGGCAGCGATGGGAGAGGGTCTCAGGGAGACCTGCAGGGTCCAGCAGCCCTGTGCTGCCCAGCCTGCCCTCTGCCAGTGGGGTCAGGCTCCCCTGCTCTGATCACGACACCACACTTCACCTCTCTCCTC